CGTTAAACGACAACCGTTTGTGTGCTCACGTACAAAGACGAAGGACTCCTTTGGGGTGCATCTCACATTTAGAAATTACAAATGATTTCGAATAAAATTACCTAAAAGTATGTGGCCTTTTTCATCAAATCATAATAAACGACGTAGAACATTCTGCCTTAATTCTTGACGTCGTTCATCCCTCACCTTTCTCTTCTTCCCTTTGCTGTTCCTATCTAGCACCGTAACAGAGCACCTAGGGTTTTAATGACCTAAGTTAGGTCTAGGAAAGATCTATGGTCTGCAGAGTACAAGTGGATTATGGAGTTGTCGAATGGCTGGTAAGACTCCACTGTTTCGATATTACCCAGTTGTACAACTCGATTAGTGTAGCGCTATCGCTACCGACCTTAGCTGTTGACAGTTCCCACTCGATCGCCCTAATCACCTTGAAAGCTGAACCAGATGTACAAGTGTTTGTGTTCCAATGTACGACGACTGCTGAATTGTAACATCGATGGTGCGCTTCGGGAAGTGATCTCGTCTCGCTGGCAAACTGGATAGGCGACAAGCATGTCACACTATTAGCAAACCGCCGTCAGAGCTGTGGCGCCATCAACACATTCACTCCCTTGCATCAGGTGGCGCTAATCTACTCGACGCGTATCTTCGCGTTTTCAGAGGATAGCGTAAAGATCATTTCGCAACACGCAAGATACGAAAGGGCAATACGGGCTCGTCACGAGAAATGTGTGACAGCTCGTCTTTTTGAGTATTTGGTGGTTTCACGGCGACTCGCTTCTGAAATTTTGATGGATAGACGCTTGAGCGCGATGCAATAAAATCTGAGATCGCGACCAACGCGCTTATTTAGGCCGATGTGCAGCAAAAAAGGCGGTTGTGACTTTCTTGACCCGAGGTCCTGCTGCTGCAACTGAAGGTCACAAAAGTATATCAAATTAAGATAAATTTCAAGTTTTCTTTGGTACCCTAACACAGCAGAGTAGTTGGCCCAAGTGCAGATACCCAATGTCACCGAACTCCCCTAATTGCTCTGGAAATTGCAAAGTCAAGTAACGCGACTATTTCGTTTTCGGACTTCCTCTTAACGACCTCACACCCATCCGCAATTTTCCAAAAAACCTGGCTATGAAGATTTGCAGAGCGTTCCATG